GGAAACTGAATTAAGTACTAGCATAGGAGATATTAAATGTGTTCGTCTTTCGCAACACCCATGGCACATGGAATGTCCTGTGTGAGTGTGGCCGCGCAATATCTCTTCTGCTAGTGTCTAATGAAGTTTCCAGGAACACTCATAGAAGGCATGAAAACAAATCTTATTGTGATTAGCAACATTCTACAGACACAGAGTTCCCGATTAGAGAAGGACTTTCGCCCCTCTAAAATGTCCAGCTTTTTACAGCTTCGTGATACCTTTGAACAGAAACCAGATTTGTCTTTCTCTAGCAGAAAGTAAAGTAACAATAAGTAGATAATGTCGTTGTGAGATGAATTGGAATCAGAGATGTCCATGGCAACGCTGCCGTCGTGATCATGAGGTCGCGTCGGCTGCAGCTTTTTTAGGAAGAAATTTCAAAAATACATGAATATGCACAGAATCTTGATGTTTATATATGTGATACTGTAAGACTTAGTAAATCTGGTAGAGTAGCAGCAGATACGGCCTTGAAAATTGAAACATTTTTTTTGGAATACCATCGCGGCAACGGCAAATTCTCAGTCGCAATGAAGATCTACAATTGAAATTGAGAGGGACGGTCTGATAACAGGTTGTCTGTTGTGAAAGTAGTCGAATCACGATAGGTCATTACTTTTAGCTCGCCGAGAATAAAAGCACTTTCAGTCCTTCTCACCTCTAGAAAATATATACAACCCTACGCGTGCATTATTTTAACAGTTTTTTTTCTAAATTTGTTTTCTTATATAGCTGAAAAACTAGAACGTGAAAGTGCATCATCTCATGTTGCACCTGTAAACACAATTTATTCATCACCATCACTTGCAACAACGATTGCACCATCAAGTCCTGTTATTCCTCATTATTATCCAGTTCCTCAACATCATAATGTAATTTATCCTCATCATATTCCACCAACAACATCAAATGGTCTTTATCCAATACAACCGTAAGTTAATCAAATGAACAAAGAAAAAACAATAGAGAAATTTTTTTTGTTATTTAGAAATTATTATCCACCTCCACTTGGAGTTCGTTATCCTGCTGGTGGTATTCATCATTTTCCACAATATGCACCTGCTCCACCAATTCATCATCATCCTCCACCTCCTCCGCCTCAAATTGTTGCTCCTCCACATATTCCAACAAATGGATATAATATGCCTGGTTTTCATCCTCATCCAACAGCACCATATACATCAACATCAACATTCATTGCTCATCATCAAACAGCTACTCAACCAATATCAACAGCTCTTTCGGAAAATGAATTTTATATAAAACAACGTTATTTTCAACGAATGTAAAATTTTATTTTTATTATTTTGATATTAAATAATTTATTAATTTTTAGTCAACGATCACCTAGTCGTCGTCGTTCACGTTCTTCATCTTATTCATCGTATTCAAGCAGGTAAGGAAACTTTTTTTTTGGTTTTTGGTTACAATAAAAAAGAATTTTTTTTTTAAAAATCTTAGTGATTCTCGTAGTTCATCACGTTCACGTTATAATCGTCGTCGACGTTCATCTCGTAGTCGAAGTCGTCATCGAGTAAAATCTCCAGTTCGTGATAATCGTCGTCAACGACGATCATCATCCTATCGAAATCGACGACGACCTATTGAAACTAAAGAAAAACAACATTCATCAAAATATCGAAGGTAAAATTTACTCTCAAAAAGAAATTCTTTTTTTTTTTTAATCTTATTCTTGTTCTTAAATAGATCACCACCTCGACCAGCTCGAGATCATGAACGACGTCGTTCACCTCGTCCACCACCTACTATTCAGCAATCGACTCAACGTACAATTGTTTATTTACAGGAATCTTCACATTCCAGGTAAGAAAAAAACAAATTATTGATTTCTTATGAATAAATTTATTTTATTTAGTCGAGATCGTCGTCGAACAAAAAGTCGTTCACGTGAAAATGATGATCGTATTAATTCATTGTCGAAAAAAGAACAACAAACACAATCAGAATCAAAAACTTCTTCTATATCATCACCAACAAGAGCAACACAAACAACACTTTCATCAAAAATTGAAACAGTAGTAGAAGAAACACTTGAAAAAGTTCAAGATGATAATTCTAAAAATGGAAAAAAACATAAAAAACATAAAAAACATCGTCATTCAAGTTCGAAAGGTAAAAAACATCATCGAAGTAAAGATAAAGAAAAAAAGACAATTGTGGATACAACAACATCTGTTATTGAAATTCATTCATAATATTTAGCTTTTTTTTTGCTTTCTCATGTCATATATGTTGTATCTGAAAGAATTCTTTCTTTTGTTCTATTTGTTAATTTTTGTTCTTTTTTTTTCGTTTTCGACAGAAAAATAAAATATACTGATGAAACATTATTTAAAATTGCACTTTTTTTTGTTCATTTATTCATTAAGGAAATAGTACAAAGATAAGTCCAGATCAAAAATATGGAAATGTTGAAAGATGTGGAATAGATAGACATTAAAAAAAAAACTTTTTTATTGATTGTTTAAACAAAAAAATTGGATTTCTATATGTATAAAAATAAATACCTTTAATTTGAATAAAAGAATAAAGGGTGATCTCTTCCTGACTAGAGTACTTAGGATGATGCTTTAAATGGCATATTATCCAATGACATTATATTTTTTAATACCAGTGATATAAACAGAAGAAACGTAATAGTTAGGGTGTGAGTACAAGGAGAAAACAGAATACTCCTGCCTTTCGGAATGAAGTGTTGCGTATTTTTTCCTTTTACATCGCTTCAGATCTCAATGTCTACGAAGTCGAAAGCGGCTCGATGTTGACTTGTGATATACATCAGCATCGTGTACGTGTTTTCTTCGGTACGGATGACAAAGTTTCAAAACTTCTACGTATTGGTTAAGCGTCTATAATATTCAGAAGAAACAGCAAAATAGCGTACTTTTAGCCATCTTTTGAGGTTACTAATGAATAGTGATAACAAGAATGTTGCATCAATAATTTAGTGTCCATTCTGAAGGATGATTTTCAAAAATAAAGTAACAACTAAAATTCATTATGTGAACAAATTCACTAAATCCTGTGAATAATCAAGATGACGAAGATAAGGAGTTAATAGACCATTTCCCTTCTGACTTGCCTTGCAGGCCAAGCTCAGTGTAAAAGAATGCCCTGCAGACCAAATCAGGCTGAGGGTGTTGATATAGGTGACTATACATGAAGACATGATGCACACTCACATTCACAAAATGATGAGCTTTTGAAACATTCATATGTTTTCGGTTATATTAGAGTAAAGATAATATTACATTATATCGAGGCCAACAACGTTCTCTGGGCTCGACTTGATGACTTGCCAGGCAGCAGTCCACGCTGACAGCTCTGACTTACACCAACCCTCATGGTGAAAACTAGAAGTTTATTATTATGACGAAAGAATTGTTCAAAATAGCAGAAGGGCTGTATCCATTCTTCTCAGACATATTTGAGACAGGTCTCTTTTTATTGACCAGAGAAATATGGATTATTTTTCGCTGATGTTCTATCTAAATGCCACAAAAATTTGCTTCCATTGTCAGCTGTAGAAGTATTATTTTGGTTCTACATAAGAGACAATCGTATAGAAGAGCATTGTTAAGGAAGTGTATGATATTGAGTTCGAACACTTTTGTACCTCAATTTATGAACTCTACGTCTCTTATAGAGCAGGAGAAGAATCCATACCATGAATATCCGTTTGAATGCTGTAGGAAGCTGTGGGTCCTTCGAGACCCGTACCCGACTCGGACCCGGTCGGGTCTAGGCCTATAGTTTTACTTTTTTTCGAGTACGGGTCGGGTCCAACCTTTTATTTTTTTGTCAGATCCGATTACACGTTTTTGTGAATCTGCTGCTCCCCAGATAAAAAATATAGCAACAAGATGTGGCTGTACGTTTAGTTCTTTTCAGAGAGTAGTGAATAAATCGCTAAAGCCTTGATCCTCCACTTGTTCATATACATGAAGGATGACACGTATTGATGGAAAAAAACTCGGATTTGGACCCAACTGGGTTCGGGTCGGACCCGGGTCCATAGAAAACGCGGATCCGCAGCTTCCTAATGCTGACTATGTGAAGGTAGGTGCGTGCGTAAAAAGAAAGCCTTCATCCACCCTCCTGATGATCAGCCTTTCGCACAACATCTCTAATTTGCGTCCTTCAATATTCAAGAAAGCTGATTACTTAAATGGATTTGAGTGGAAATTTTCTCTGTTGAACAGACAAACTCATGAAGGTATTTACATTTATGATGAAAAATGAGTGCATATGACATTGATACCGACGATTTTGACATGCTAATATCGCTTACATTCGCTTATTAATCACTATTCGCAATAACACATGTAACGAAATTTTATGTCATCTTGTTTTTGACATCAGTTTAATCAAAAGTTGATTTGCTATGAAATGCAGCATGATTGAAATTCATTGAGCAATCATGGAAGCATTCTAGGATTCACTTGAGTTTGAGTATTTCTAAACGTTATTGACCTTTTTTACAGCTATATATTAATTCTTGAAAAGTTAAATTCAAAACTAACTGTTCCCAAGTCCAACAAAAGACTGATGAATGAAATAAAATTAGTTATTGTAGATGTTTAAAACAAAAGAAAACAATTAAACACAATCATATTTTACTGGTTGTTTGTAGTGAAAAAAATTACTACGTACATCAACGATACACTCCCTATCAGAGCATGTCATCAATAGGATTATTCTATTTTTAATAATGTTCACATTTTGCAAAGAACGCATTTTATAATATCAATTTAGAAACACAATGATTTCATGCACAAATTTCTGTACTCAGTGACCTTTAGAATAGAATAGAATAGAATAGAATAGAATAGATTATAAAGAAACAAGCGTGCAGTTGCGCACATGGTATGTAAAGAAAGAAAAAGAAGAAATATACGATAGAATCACAAGTGTTACTAATACAACTCTATGTTACGATGATTTTCATTCTATTGACTACTACTCTTTCTACAACACGCTCACAACAATTGCCAAATATAACTAAGGTATTTGAATACAAATGAAAGAAAAAAAAACGATACACTATCATCATCTATATATAGGACAACATTCGATTTGATTCACTCGTATTTGTTAAAGTAACGAGCTGACCCTTTTTCTTGTCTTGATAAAACAAAAAAAAACAAAATCAACAATTAACCTTACAACTCGAATATCATGTCAACGTCACGCAAATCAATTATTGAAAAATTTATTATTGCTGTCAATGACCCGAAAGTTCCCGATCTCGACCAAGTTCTCGAAAACGATGTACAGAAAATATTAAACTCAAAAGTTGTTTACAACAACATTCAGGAAGCTCGAGAATATTATATTAAAGAATTAGATGGTGAATCAACATCTCAATGGGCAATTGTTGAATGTATACCAGATGATCCGAAAAAAAATACATTACGTGCTCGAATTTCACATAACAATAAGACAGCTGATACTGTATATACATTTAGTCCTGCTGATAAAATTCAACGAATAGATGTCGTTAACTAAAAAACCATCACTTAAATGAATGATCATTATAAAGGTATTTAAATCGATTTATTTCAACTGCTTTTTTTAAAATTCCATTTTTTCTCTTTTTTTTTAAATAAAAATATCTACTATCATTGTATATGTGTCTTGTTTATTTGATGAAAATAATGGTTAATATCACTTTTGATCAAATGAAAACCACTCATTGCTGAAAATTATATATATGTGCATACTCAGTCAAAATAAGATCAGACCATGTTGATTCTTTGAGCTCATACCTAATTAAAATTAATTAACTAATTAATAAAAATGTAATTAGCAAATAACTATCTATCCTTATGATAGAAAAATCCAAGAATTTCAAAATAGATTCCACATCATGAATTACATCTATGGTGGAACCTTCAGTAAGATCGGATTTCGAAAAATTGCCTTTTTATAACAGATTTTCTAGAGATTATCTTATATCTTGGAACAAAACATTTTATTTTGTTAGCATCTCTGAATTCTCAAGAAGGTTTTATATCGTTTTGAAAGTTTTCATTAGTTATGTTGGAGCTTACAGTATTTTTAAATAGAAACGCATGCAGTAAAAATCTTTATCCTTTTCTTTGTGTCACGTCGCTGACACTTAGTTTTTTTTAATCATAATTTGTTCAAATATAATTCTCAAGGACTGAGTTTTTCCTGGTATCTATAGAAATTCAACCTATATTGAATGCATAAAAATTACCTATAAAGAAGTTTAGCGTAAGGTCCTTCTGTCAATCTTCGGCAAAATTAACAAATAAAAAATTGAAATCTCCACTAGCATCAATTACAGATGATCTCTCATAATGATTTCCAATTAATCAAGATTATTCGAATTTGAATTATATCATTAGAGCAAAATGTTTTTGTTTTGATTCTCGTTCATTTATTGAGTTTATGAAAATTTATTCTTACATCAGACATATCACGATTCTTTATTTTACCTGAAGGAACACATAGTATGAACTTTATTCGCTTGTACCTTTTTAGTTGGCTACATCGTATACAGTTTCGGCAAAAAAAGTCAAAATACTCTCAAGATTTTCGGCAGTACTTTCACCAGAGCAACAACAACGCTTGTTTTTTTGTTGTTCTAGTTTTTGTTCTAGCTTTTGTGTTATTTTGACATTGACTTCATCAATGGTATGACTGAGTTCATCCGATGTCATTTCACTGGGAGGCATGAGATCGAGCTGGCGTGTATCAGCTCTTATTGTTATACGAACTAATTTCGTGTCGTTTGCTTGTGTTATGATAGTCAACGGACCATAGTGTGATGAGAAATCGACGTAATAAATATCATCAATCATTAAACAATGATCATATAACAATACATAACCACCACTACGATTTATAGCTTGTGTGTACTGTTTTCGGCATTTACATCCTATACAGGAATAACGCTGAGAAAGAGGCACAAAATATTGAAGTTGAGTCGAAGGATGATGATGAATGTATTCTATATATTGTTTTCAAGTGATTGCATCTGATTTCCAAACGATAACTGGATCTTTTAAAAGCTCTATTTGACGGAATATCTTTTTTCGTTGAAACCAAAATCGAATTGGAGAAATAAGTACACCGGCAACGATGAGTCAAACAGCCGCAGTTAATAAAATTCCAGCGTTTTCCCAATCGGAATAGTGCAGTACCAAGATACCTGAAATGCCGAGCATGATAAAGCAAATACTCAGAATAATAATTATAGTACTATGAAAATACAACAATCTCTTAAACTTTTTTATTCGAGACTCAATAATCTCTGGTAATATATTGTCATCTTGTTTTTCGTCTTGGAATAGATCAATAGCGTTGCTGATAGTAATGCCAGTGGAACATCGATACTCATAGACGAATTCGATGATTTCCTAGTATCATTTTCAGTTGATGCATTATAAACGTCTTGTGTTGTTAACATTTTATTGTCAAGATGGACTTTCGACATGTTTTACGATTCTAAAAACGTTACAATAGCTTATACTTCTTACGTGCTTTTTTTTATCGTTCTCATCAAAAAGAAGATGAGGACGATATATATGACTTAAGATCATAAGAGACTAAAAATATCAATACCGACTTCAGTTTGCATGATAAGAAAACAGAATAATCTCGGAAGAACACGTATATTGACTTAAATTTTTATTCTAACCTTTATTTTTCTACTGAAAAAATTTTTCTCATTGATAATTTATTATAAAACATACTCAGAGGGAATCTTTTCAGCTATATCCTCTTATAATTTCAATTATTTTTTGTCTATAGATACGGCATAATATCTTAGCAAAACTCTAAAATGAATCGAGTTTCTAGCACTTCTTTCAAAAGTTATGAGCACCTTAAATTTGTCTCTATACAATGCATAACATACGCTGTCGGTCGTAAATACTACTATAATAAAAAAACTAGCTATCGTCGTATCGATTCAATCAAATGGGCGAATTTGTTGGCTACTCATAGAATTTTATTTCGAATGTGTAATTTTTATGGCGACAAGCTAAACAACTAATACCCCTTAAGTATTATTACTATCGGTATCATAAAAGCAATTTCACCCGTTATCAAGTAATAAAAATATATATTTAGCATTTCATATTTGATTTTCAGCTATAATAAAAGAGAATAATAAGAGCAAATCGGGGTGTGGGTATGGGTGTGGATGTGGGTGCGGATGAAGTAAATAACTATCCACCCACACCCTAATTAGTGCATCTGATAAAACTCATCGAGTTCTATCTTCATCTATTGTTGGTCTAACTAAAATCAGCTCCTGAGCGAATCGCGAAGAGTTTTCATAAACTTAATAACGAACAAAGGACTAATTAGCGTTTTTCCTATTGATGGTACATTCGAATTTGATGAGTAATATGTGGAATTAATAGAGCTCGTCGAGTTCTATCTTGATCTAACGTTGGTCTAACTGGAGCCAGCTCCTGAGCGAATTGGAATAGGTTTTTCTTTAGTTTTAACGTTTTTTTTGCAGTATTTAGGATTATTTTCTCAAAAGGGGAGACTATTTCGGAAAAGTGAGTAGTGCATCTGATAGAGCTCGTCAAGCCCTATCTTGGTCTAACTGGAGCCAGCTTCTGGGCGAGTCGAGACAGGAAATACTAGAATCGGAAGCTAAGATATCCTACGTGTATTTGTGAATGGTTTCCAATATTTTTCTTATTCGATAAATTCGACTCAAAACATATAAAAACACATGAATGAATAAGAATTTATTCAAATGTGATAAATTAGATTTTTTTCTTTTGCTGTTTCTATGATGCTTATGAATTTTCAAAATTTTTCATTTATTTTCAAAGTCGAACTAGGCAGCTAGTTCAGACTATAGCAATGAGTAATAAATACTTGTGTGTAGTTATATAGCGAAGAAAAATATTGGCATCAACAATTTACAAAACCATTCATGTATCAAATCGAATATCTTCAATGTTTTTGTTTTGCAAAAATAATGAAAACAAACGTTTTGAAAAATAGTATATCTCAATATAAAACAGAATTAATCGTTTTCTGTCGATATGAAAAAAGAGATGACTATATTTATCTCTTTCTCTTTTGTAATATTATAACATCAATAAAAAATATACAATTTTATCAAACTATTTTTTTTTATTGAAACAATTTATAACAAAGGAAAATATTGATGAAAATTTGCTGAAGAAAGAAATGATTGATCGAGATCAAGATCTTTTACTCTACTAAAGTTAAAATATGTTGTATCAATGGTAAAATTGTTTGTTATCATTATAAGTGATTCATATTTGATGTAAAGATTAAATAAATGAGGTAGATAAATTACTTTCTTCAAGAGAAATTGTTCAGCATAATTTACATGTGCCAATTTCAGATTAAGAAGTTTAAGATGATGAAAAGTAATTAATTCAGTAGATGAATATTGTTTGTCTTTTTGTGGTTTATCATTTCGTATATGTAAGATTTCAAGAAAAGGTAAACTATGAGAGATAAATTGAAAGAATTTATGTTCAAAAGGATATTGATCAATAACTACCAAATATCGAACCGTATGAAATATGCCTCCTGGAAAAGAATTATTGATTTCAAGTAAATATTCGAATTGATATGGAAGTGAATAAATATGACATTTTGATTCCATCCTACTTAAATTATGGATATATGAAGCATTTTGTTGATATATTTCTCTTTCAATAAAACTACGTTGAATATCTTCATTTGATGAAAGATTAATTTTAGTATTACATCTAAAGACACGTGTTTGAATATTAAATGTAAAGTTATTTAATTTTTTCATATGACAAAGAACTTCATCATATAATTGAATACCATCAATATAATTTAAATCAATTACTTCTATTAATAAATATAATTTTAATTCTTCAAGATTTATCATTCGACGAATAAATGGAAAAATTAGAATATCATGTTGACTTGTGTATTCAGGTGAAATGAATGAGAAATATTTTAATTTGGGAAGTTTTTTCTAGAAATAATATTGACATTGAAAATATCTATCGGATTAATTTATAGAAAGGATGATCAAAATCGAATACATACTGTTTTATCTATGTGTCGTATCGGATGATAAATTGTTTCCACATGAAGAATTAATGTTGTTAAACATTCGAAATTTCCATTAAGAAGAAACAAACATTCAGTAAAACTTACAAGATTAATTTTTAATTTAGTTAAAGTTGAAGACATTAAACTTGTTTCTGTTAAACGAGAAATACGATTCCAATGTTTTCGTTCAAAAAATAAATCACAAAAATTTAAATCAATTAAGTTTTTACATAAAGATAAAATTAACACAAAAATCTTTGATGTAATTTTAAACGATTCTCTATTTGCATTCTTTATATCAATATTAAGATGTGTTATTTGTTTACTAAGCAAATCACGAAGAATAGAATCATCTACAATTTAAAAGAAAAACAAATATAATTATTAACTTACATTTAACCAATTTATTATTTTGTTAATTAAATATTATACCTGTTAAATATTGATTAAGTATTTCTCCTTCAAAATTAATAAGTGATAATGAATACAGTTTAGTATAATTAGCAACATGAAGAATACGTTCTACTGAATATTGTTCAACAGTAAGAGTATTTATTTGATCATAAATTCGACATAAGATTTTATCACATATTCTTGAAAGAGTTTTATCATCTATTGAAAAGGTCTGATCATACAATGATTCAAAAGTTCTGATAGTCATATTAAGATTACGAATAATAAGAGGATCAAGTACTAATCGGTCAAATCTTTGATTAACATCCACAAGTGAATAAAGAACATCAACTATATTCATTTTATTACAAATAATAAGTAAAATTTCATCGGGTAAATCGAGTATATTCAAGCATTTGTTCATCTTTTAACTCATACAATGTATTTATGTCAATCTATATATATATATATATATATATGTTTGCCTTTTCTCCTTCCCGTCTATATAAGAACAATGAAGGATGAACGAACATTGACGTCGTCATGTTGCTTTATAATCACCCAGGTCAATCACGCTCGGCAGTAAACGGCCGCCCACTAACCAAATACGGCGAAAAACGGCAACTGTTTATGTTAGTCATATACAGCAGCCGTAAACGATGATTTACAGTATATTACGGCAATCGTACACAGTGTCCGTAAAAGTTCACCGTAAACTACTACCGTAACAATACGGTGACTGTATACTTTGGTCGAAAAACAATGTAAGGCGTCGTATACGTCAGCCGTTTGTGGTGGCTGTTTACAATGGTCGTATCTGATGCTTTACGGCATGCTAGGGCAATTGTAAACATTGACCGTAAAGTATCGTAGGAAACGACTAGCGTGACAACACGACGACCGTATACGCTGGTATTATAAAATGTCGTAAAACACAGTGTACGTGAGCAGTATACAGTAGTCCCTTACGGCGATCGTAAACGACATTTTACGATGATTTTGCGGCCGACGTAAACAATTGCCATAAACAGCAACCGTGTACGACTTCTGTAACAATATGCCGATTGTATACGCTCATCGCATAATATCGCGACGTGCCGTCTTTGTTTATTGTAATTCGTTCAATATAGAATCACTATTTGTTATTGTATTTCGTCGCAAACGATCGTTAATGTCGGCGAATTTCTATTATTGAATATCAATAACATACTCTCATGATGGCGTATACTAGTCGACAGCTAACAAAAGTTGCGTTTCTACAAAGTCGAGAAAGAGTCACAGGAATTCCAGCAGTGTACCTTAATCGAAAAATAGTCTTTTCTGAGTCTTTTTCCGACTCACCTTATCCTATACATCGGGGTGCCCCTCCTGTTCACCCTCATTCGAGCTCAGTGCACATTGTGAGTAACAAGAAAAATCGATTTTCAAACACCGTTGCTTGACCTACCAAAAGTCTTCCCTTCGGTCTTCTTGAGACTCACTGTACTCTAAATATAGGGCGGCACCGCCTATCAACTCTCATGCCGCTTGGGTACAAGGCTTCAGTAACAAGTGCGAAAAATCGATTTTACAGCACTGTTACTTGGCTTTTAAAAAGTCTTCCTTTCAGTCTTTTCAGGCCCACCTTACCCTATATATATGGGTGCACAACGTGATCGTGGTCATTTGAGTTCAGAGTCAGGTATGAGTAACAAGTATCAACCATAGATTTTCTGGGAGTATTATTTGATCAAAAAAGAGTCTTCTTTAGTCTTTTCAAGTCTCACCCCCTACTATATGAAGGGCTGTATCACGTGCTCGTGGTCATTTTAATTGAGATTCAGTTATGAGTAACAAGTATGAATAATAGATTTTTGAGGAGTATTATTTGATCAAAAAAGAGTCTTTTTTAGTCTTTTCAAGCCTCATCCCCTACTATATAAAGAGCTGCACCACGTGCTCGTGGTCATTTCAACTGAGATTCAGGTATGAGTAACAAGTATGAACAATAGATTTTTGAGGAGTATTATTTGATCAAAAAAGAGTATTTTTTGAGTCTCACCCCCTACTATATAAAGGGCTGCAACAAGTGATCGTGGTCATTTCAATTGAGATTCAGGTATGTGAAACAAGTATAAACAATGGATTTTTGAGGAGTATTATTTGATCAAAAAAGAGTCTTTTTTTAGTCTTTTTTAGTCTCACTCTCTACTATATAAAGGGCTGCACACCGTGCTCGTGGTCATTTCAATTGAGATTCAGGTATGAGTAACAAGTATGAACAATCGATTGTTTAGCGGATGATTTGATGAAGAAAGAGTGTTTTTCCGTCTTTTTGAGTCCCGCTTCTGTTTTTATACAGACACGCACGCCGTGGTATGTGCTGTTGAGGCGTAGAAAGAACCACGAACAAGAACGATGAGTAGCCGATTCCGGTTATTGAAGTGTAGTCGTTTGGATAGCTTTTCTGATGAGGTTCCTATATGGTCTCTGAGTAAGGATCCTGCCTCATTTTCGTATATATTTAAAGAAGTGTTCTAGCATATGACCGATTTAAAAGGAAACCGCAATGCCTGAGCGTTTTGTTTTTAGCGCAAAGTGTTCCATTAGAGAATATCCCGAAACCCAAGCATTCACTAGAATACAGCCCTGCTTTTAAATGAAAAAATCATTAATGGTCTTTTCACATCTGCTTTCATAGTTTTCCACCTCGCAGAAAGTTCTTGGAAAAAGTCTGTGGAACCTAGAAAACGACCGTTTTTCAAGCTTTTGCGCGCTAGCAAATCTCACAAGAAAAGTCTTCACAGCACTCAAAGAGAATGTTTCGTACCTATTCGCAGTCTTCAGAAGAACTCCAAAGAAGTCTCGCAAGGTGCCAGACTGCTTCCCGTCGAGTCTTTTTCAACTGTTTCACACTATCATAAGAAGTTCTCTTCCGGCCAAAAACCTCTCAAAAACTTTTCGAAACGTCTTTTTCTCTGGCCCCTCAAAAGTCTCAAAAAGTCTCAACGAGTCTCAATGAGTCTCAACAAGTCTCAATAAGTCTCAGAACGGTGAATACGGCCCCGGGAAATACGGCGGATTTACGGCCGTACATCCGCCGTATACGGCCGTTTCTGGTCACCGTAATGCTCGACCTGGGCAGTAGACGATACGTAGGATATCTTGGACCTGGATTCGAGTATTTCGCAACTGGATTCGCCTGTAGGTTATACCAAATGGTGAAAAGGCTATACCAAGATAGAACTCGACGAGCCCTATCGAATGAACACCTTCTCGACTCGATTTGATGCTTGGATCCTCTCCAAAACGGCAAATCCTGGCAGAAATCCGGATTTTCGCGGTATTTCGCAACTGGATTCGCCTATAGGTTATACCAAAACGAGAAAATGGTATACCAACATAGAACTCGACGAGCTCTACCCAATGGACACCTTTTTGACTCCATTTGATGCTTGGATTCCCTCCGAAACGGAAATCCTGATCTAAATCCGGGTTTTCGCGGTATTTCGCAGCTAGATTCGCCTATAGGTTATACCAAAACGAGAAAACTGTATACCAAGATAGAACTCCACGAGCTCTATCGAATGGACACCGTTTCGGCTCCATTTAATGCTTGGATCCGCTCCGAAAGAGCGAATCCTAGCGGAAATCCAGATTTTTCGTGTATTTTGCGCCTGGATTTGCCTACAGGTTATACCAATACGAGACTATGGTATACTAAGATAGAACTCGACGAACTCTATCTTAGTTTACCATAGTCTCGTATTGGTATAACCTGTGGACAAATCCAGGTGCAAAATACACGAAAAACCTGGATTTCCGCCAGGATTCGCCCTTTCAGAGCGGATCCAAGCATTAAATGGAGCCGGAACGATGTTCATTCGATAGAGCTCATCGATTTCTATCTTGGTATACCGTTTTCTTGGCTTGGTGTAACCTATAGGCAAATCCAGTTGCGAAATATCGCCCAAAAATCCGGATTTCGGCCAGGATTTGCCCTTTCTGAGGGGATCTAAGCATCAGATCGAGCTGAAAAGGTGTCTATTCGATAGAGCTCATCGCTTTCTATCTTGGTATACCATTTTCTCATTTTGGTATAACCTCTAGACGAATCCAGGTGCAAAATACAGGAAAAACCAGATTTCGGCCAGGATTTGCCCTTTCTAAGGCGATCCAAGCATTGAATCGAGCCGAAAAGATGTCCATTCGATAGAGCTCGTCGAGTTCTATCTTGGTATACCATTTTTTCGTTTTGGTATAACCTATTTGCGAATTCAGTTGCGAAATATCGCGAAAATCCGGATTTCGGCCAGGATTTGCCGTTTTGGTGAGAATTCAAGCATCAAACCGAGTCGAGAAGGTGTTCATTGGATAGGGCTCGTCGAGTTCTATCTTGGTATAGCCTTTTCACTATATGGTATAACCTATAGGCAAATCCAGTTGCGAAATACTCGAATCCAGGTCCAAGATATCCTACGTTAAAATATTCTTTATCCTGTGCTCTGTTTGCCACAGATCTGTAGAAAAATATTTTCATCAAAATTGCAAATCCGTTAGCAACTTTATCTACGTTAATTTTAAAGTTTAATATTATTTTATATATTTATTATTCTTAAAAATACCGTATAAACAACATATACAGAATAGTAACGTAGGTATATTTCTTTTTATATGTACAAAATACGACTAGACATACAAGAAGATGAGAAAAAAAACAACACGAGTTGAAAAGAATGAAAAGGTACACATCTAAAACAAAATGATTTCGTATGATCAGCACAAATCATAAGAATAAGATTGCACTAGATTGGAATATTGCTGCGAAATATATAGAAGATGAGCATTCTGAACAGAAATTTACAAAAAATGTAAATTTAAAAAGTTAAGTTTTTTTTAAACATTTTTTGCTTTTAAAACAAATCATGTTTGTATCATTTGTTTAGTAAAGTATCTCCATTTTGGATATTCTTTTATTGTTCTTCTAAACCAAAAATTTTCTTTTTATTTATATGATGTTCTTCTATTCATTGTTTTTCTTTTTATATATTTATTTGTATATTCTATTGTTGAATTAAATCATTCTCATGTGTCATCATTATTGATACTTGTTGATCATCAGAACTAATTCATGTTGGAACAATAAATGAATTATCTGTTGAAATTATCTCTTGTTTGATTAATATATTTGATATAGAACTTTGAAGAGTTTCATATAAATGAGCAAATTCATGATCAAATATCATCTCATTTGACACTAAGAATTTTAATTGTGGTTTTTCTAAAGCTTTTATATAAAATTCAGATTTTGATATTATTCTTAGTTTTTCTTGAAATAAATTAATACCAATTCGTTTGTTTATTAATTGTTTGAATGATTCACTAGAAAAATAAAAATAAAAACTCAAATAAATTTTTAGAAAATAGTTTTCTTACGTAGAATATGATTGTATCGGATTATTATTACTAGGAAGTAAACATAAGCCTAATGCAAATGAACATAATGATTGAATCAAAAGTTCACGTTCATTTGTACTTGGTTCAATACATATTTGTGAAATAAGCTTGAAAACAAGACAATTTAAAAAACAAATTCTTTTTATGAAAAAGGATAAAAGTCCGTAAGAGCGATTTTGAATCATTGTTAGTATTCCTTCACTCATCACTTATGTCATGTAGAATCGTTTGGGAACAAAATACTGACATTCACGTTTTCCAGCATATATAGATGATTCGCATATAAAAAGATGAACTTTGTAAATATGAGCTTGTCAATATGTGACTAAGAACCAAAAAGACAAGTAACTGAAAAATAAAAAGCATATTTTAATAAAATTCATATTTTGAGAGAGAATGTTGAGAACACTCCCTAGTCGAGGTTTTCGAAGAAAAAGAAAGGCGATGAAAATTTCTGAAACATATATTATTCTATTCAGTTTTTAATCCTGACTTCAAATATATTATTGGTTTTGATACAAATCCTACTTTTTCTGATTAAAATTGGCGAAATATTGGTAAAATGATGTCTAAACAAAAGTCAAGCGCTTTTATAGGGTGTTTCATAAATAGTACTACGATAAAAATTAAAAATTGTCTAGTATTGTTAAATTTTTATCATAGTGCTATTTATGAGACACCCTGTATGTGCCAAAGTCTACCTCTAAAATAGTTTGCAATTGTATTGTTATGATCTGCAGCTTCTTTAAATGCGATCATAAGGAGCCTCTCAGTCGTTCACAAGATTGTTCTCTTCTTTTCACTAATTGTTCATTATAGATTCTTCCTTTTCTTACCATATGTGTGTGGTAGATCTTTTCCGTTTCTGTATATGTATATGACGGATCTTTTTTCTTTTCCTCTTCAATGTTCACCTTGTTGTATGGATTTTCTCCTCATCATCTATGAGATTGTCCAACATTTGACTTTTACTTCATGTTGTCGTTCTATATATAGTTGTTATGTTGTTACGAACAGAGGTGAGGATATACATCAATAAACACAAACGGGATTGAGATCTCACATATATAACATTGCAGCCCTTTCTTTGAGATTTCAGAATCAATAAACATTCCGTACTGTTATTTCTCTTTCAAGAAATATAAAGAAACAATGATCAGAAGTCAACAATAATAATAGTATTACTAAATGATTCTCCTATTTGTTTGGATTAATATTTCATCCAATACTTAATAACACGTCAACCGTTTGAGCTGAGATTTTATCAGACATGGATTAAAGAACATCTAATCCATGAACATACTTTTCAGTTCGAAGCGTCTTAATATGGGAAAATTTACAAAATTCCTCCTTTTATATGTGAATCATTTATATATGCTACAAAAGTGAATGTCAGTGTTTTTTACCAAACGATTCTACGTAAAATTCTACATGACATAAGTGATGAATGAAGAGTAACTGACGATGGCCTAAAAAATTGCTCGTATGTGCCTTAGAGACCTGCGTCTTTCCAGACAAGGATCCGAGCTGGGATCCAACTTTCTTTTCTGTTGGGTCCGGGTCCATACTCAGATTTAGCATCAGATCCGATTTGTATTTAATTTCGAATGTGAATAGAACTACATGAGGAAAGATAACAAGAAATAATTTTATAGCGATCTTTTTAATGAAATCAAGCGATAAATGGCTAAAATCTTCTTGCTTGACTAGATTGTATACATAAAAAGTGTCAAATGCCATTGGAAACAGCTCGGATCTGGACCCGATCAGATCCGAGTCTGAATCTACCGAGTGCGGATCAGGTTCGGGTCTGGAAGTTTCATTTTCGTCGGGTCCAGGTTCAAAAAAACGTGAACTCGCAGGTCTCTAATGTGCTTTCGTCCTTTTACGTACATATGAGATGCTATTTTCAATTGAAATTAATGCTTGTACTGCTAATGAACAATTTGATAACCATGTACATAAGAAAATCAGTGTAGCAATACGTTTGTGAAATGAAGACGATAGCTATTTATAATAAAAGAAACAAAATATAAAATCTAGAAAAAGAAATGATTCTGTTCAGTTTACATTTTGTAATAAATCAATTGATATTTCCATTAATGTTTTAATATTTGTTTGTGATTGATTAACTGCTATTACCACTTTCAGCAATTCATGCTTATACTCTAGATTACTATTAATTAAATGTGCAAGTGCAATACCGGAACACCATGATGCAACATTATCATTACTTAAATAACCGCTGATTAATAGATGACCTAATGTAGTCTGGTTAGCAGCTAAATGAAATGAAAACAATGAGCTTTTTCTCTTTCGAAAAAAATCTAATTAACCATTTTCTGTTTGAGGTAAAAGTGTCTGAATAATCATTAATTTTCCAAAATCATTTTTATATAAATAACATTGTAGACAATAAAGTATTGATATTCGAAGTTGAAATAATTTTTTTTTATCAGCCACCATTGTATATATGAGATTGAATAATGTTGGTCTAAAAGAAATATAATCATTTTAAAAAATTAAAAATATTCCAACAGTTACTAACTTATGAACTTTAACAATAGTCTTCTTAATAGGACCAAGAACACGTTGATTTTCAGTATTACCACGAATAATATCACCAATTGTATTAATAATCTACAAATATAGGAAAATACATTGATTGAAATAATGAAGCTAAACTCACTTCAGCTAAGACATCAGTAGGAACAGTGGTGCGTGTGAGTACGCCACATAAACAATGTAATATACCTTTGAAAAAAAGATGTAAAAAGCGTTACACTAAAAGTGAATATAAAAGGAGGTGATTATTTTTGATTTATCAATGAAAAGCGTCCATTTCTTCAAAACATTGTCAAGTCGTCAATCGGTTGCGAGAGAAGTCTCCTAACTGATAAAGTCCGTTCAGCTTCATCTTTAGCTGGTAGATAGAACTTATTATGTGAGCAGCCCAGGGTTGTCGATTGTTTTTAGAGATGGGGGAGGGGGGGGGGGGGGGATAAAATTTTGGCAAAAAGTGCTCTCATTTTTGTGGTATGAAAACTTTGGATCAGGGGAAAGGGAGCAACACCACCTCTCACTTTTAGGGGTCATTCAGAAATCAATGAGAAACTGTCAGGTAGAAAAATGAATCAATCATCTTTCCGTTTCAATGCTTGGATGATCGAATAAAATGATAACTTAACGATATTAGATCCAAAAGGTGTCAATGTCGTTCAAAGTACTACAGCTTCCTTTATCATCGATTCTTAGTTGTTTAGACCAAGAATATCACAGGCAGGTAGAATCGGTAAAAAGAATACGTTTTTAAGAGTAAAGATGTAAGTTTTGTGAACCTTTGAACAAGTACTCTCTTCGAAAAAGACAGTTTAGGCATGTTTTTACTTATAACGTCGCTGTTTTTTCAATAAATGAGTTTTTATGCGTAAGAAGCATGTATCTTTGGGACGTTAAATGCACCCTCATCAATTTGGAATATTTGATCTTCAAAAGACATTATTGAAAAATTTCAGAGTTTTTCAGAGTCGGAATCGAAGTCAAGAAAAAAAGTCTCGGAGTCTGAGTGGGAGTCACGAAAAGGGAATTTTTTGGAGTCAAAAAAGTTGACTCCGCAGGTCTCAGCAACAGCCTAAGTCAAGTATACAATGGAAGCATTCTTTTTCATTCTGGAAGATGAAATCTTGTCATGTTTTTGTTATTAATATTCTCTACTCAAGACTCAATGAAACGATAGTGCTAAAATCTATTCATATGGGATATTTTCATCGCTTATGAACTCCATTGATTACTTTCTTTTCATTCTTCTCTTACCCCATTTCTCTATTATATGTTGACATGCAACAATATTTTCCATAGAATTTGTTGGTGATACAAGTGTTCGAATTATCTTAACATACATGAAATAAAAAAAAGAATATTTAGAATTGTTAATAGACGTCATTTTTTAAAAATTGCTTACTTGTAAAAAAAGATGAACATTTTTTACTTTTTGTGTCGACCAACATTTTTCGCCGGTTAAAACAGATTGAAAAAATCCAAATAAATCCACAATTTGAGAGAATTTACGAAAACAACTCTGCGCTAATTGATTATATTCGAATAAACTCAATAGAAACGATAAATAATCTTCGACAATAACATCTATTTTTAATAGATATTAAAAATTGAATTTATGTAGAAAAGATTATTAATTTACCACCATCAGTACCATATCTATCAACAAGAATTTCAGACAAACGTTGAAAACCATGTTCAAGTACAAAGAGTCGTTGGATATTCGAATGAGAACGAATTAAGATTTGAAAGAGAAGTAATGTCTAATTAATGCATTAAATAAAGATTTTCTTTAGTTAAGTAAAATAATTACATCACTTTGAATATCTTCACGTTTATCGTCTAAAAGATTCATTAATTTTAAAAAACCTTCACGTCTTTTTTTTAAAATAATATTTTGTACTTGTTCTGTACAATTTCTAAGAAGTGCAGTAAGAAATTGAATAGCTGCACGACGAACATTTACATCACTTTTCTAAAATTTTTCTTTCAATTATAAAAATCTTTGAACTATCAAAAAACTCTTACTGTAATACATTCAAGAACTGCATAAACATTTTCTTCACTTTCGATATATTTTTCTGTAAAAACAAACTTTTTCATTTATTTTTCTTTTTTGTAATCAAAGAAAAATTCTACCTGTTAATTCAACAATAATATCTTCTGATAAGTCTGATTGTTCTAGAAAACAAACAAGTATATGAAAAGAAAACAATAGACCACAAATAATAACATATACCTTCATCACTATCAACATCATATGTAACTACATTGGTTAATGTTTCAAGTGTCAATTGAATAAGATTTGAATGAGTTCGATCATCTTGTAAAATATTTGCTAATATTTTCATACTTTTTCTTCCAACTTCAAGTTTACATTTCTATTAGGTTTCCAAATAGAAATATACTTGAGAAGTGAAAATCTTTTTTTTTTTACTAACTTTAGAAAACAATTTAAGACCAAACACAGCATCTCGTCGATCTTCGAACTGTGTAGCTGATTGCAAACGATTACAAAGACATTGGATCTATAAATATAGAGATAATCGTGAAAAATGAAAAGACATATTTGATGTTTATTGATCATAATTTATTTTTGCAAGCAAAATGCTAAGAATTCTGTCCTTATTAACTGACATAAAAGAAGAAAATAAATGAAAAGTTTTATTATCTTACTGTTTCTTTATCGATTGTGTCATTATTATTATTTGTTGTTATTAATGATATTGCAGATGACAAAAGAGAATGACGGTGGCGGAAGGTCATTCTGTTTTACTGATAATACTCAATTAGAGTTTTCTGTTTTTATTAAAATAGAAAATCAAGTTTCACTAATCGTATCAGATTTATGCGTGCATGCAATTACCAATGTGTCATGCGTTATCATCATACTAACAATGATTTATTTGTTTGACCGATAGAAATATAGATTAAACGATGTCACTAACAAACAGTTATTTGTCATTGTGCAAACTTTTAATTAGGCAAACAAGAGGAAAAATTGGATACTGGAACGAAGTGGATGATATAATGACTTTATTTTGCTCATAAAAACGAAATTCTTGATTAATATTCTCTTGTTGACCATAATCCTCATTGAAAAAGTTACGCTTCGTTGTTCAGTTTAATAGACTTCTTTCCTTTAATTTCATATTATTCATTATATATGTCAAACTTGAAACTTGAATTCAATTGAACAATTATTCTTCAATTGAATTCAAGTTTTAAGTTTGACATATATGATGCTGTTTTCTTTTCAAAAACAATTATTTATTGAACATATCTTGTTATTGATTTATTTCAATAAATCAATAACAATATATGTTCAATAAATAGAATCAATGATAAATTAGACTCAACATCAATCATTATTAATGAAAACACGAATATTACTTGATAAACTTATTCAGTAACCTATTTCAAACTATGTTATTTAAAAAAAAATCAATTATATTGTTTCTTTCCCATTAAAGATATAAACTCAATATGAATGACCTGATGAGAGTGATGATCAATGACATATGCCTTTTTTAAAATTTTACTCTGTTTATTGTTACACTCGAAAGTGCTTACAAGAATTACCGTAAGCATTCACAGCTGTTTGGTTAACACGACCATGAGCGATATAAGCATACAGAGGGAAGAACAATAGATTCATAAGATGCCACATTTAGTTGATAAAATGTAATGAAGAAAACAAAGAAAGGATAGTAAGCAAGAAGACAGAAAAAAGAAAGGCAGAATGAGTGACGAGGGAAGTACAAATGGTATTGATAAAGGAACAAAAGAGAGAAAAAAGCTGTGCAAAAGGAGAACGAATTTGTCAACACAAGAGAGAAGCAAATTATGATGATGCTACAACAGTAAAATTTTAAATGAGCCGAGAAAGATATAGAATAGTGCGTGTTATTTTGTTGATTTAAATAACTGGCATCACATCAATAATGTTGGTGGCACCACAATCAACATTTCTTTCTTACTATTCTACAAACAAAACATGTTTCACGTACATAAAAATTCAAGCCATTACAGAAGTAGAGATTGATGCCTTTCATGCATATGTCTAACTCGTTTCATTCGAAAAAATGTCCTGGATGATCATTTTTACTTTTATGAAATGCATCCCAGTAAAATACATCATTGTAAAAGGGCGAGCAACCTAAATCTGATTTCTCAATTCGTTCTAAGCTTTTCTTTATGTATCTTTTTACGTAGTCTTCTAATGACTTTTCATTTGTTATTTGCAGAAGATCTGTTACTTTGGCAAAGGGACACCGACGAGTCATTCTTAATCTATTTCTAAATTTTCTTAAAAGTAATTCTTTTTGGGTTTTTGGTAGGAATAGATATAGGGGAGATATCTATGCAAAATATGGAAAAATGTAAGCGAAGAAACAACTTCGCAAGACTTCTTTTGAGAGAGCTTTACCACCTTTTATCCATCTTAATTTACTATACGTTCTTTGAATGTTTTCAAGGGTTTTATCAATCGTTGGTTTTAAGGATATCTTATTTGTCCAAGTAAAACCCAGATATTTGAATTCTTTAACTACTTCTAGTCTTTTATCCTTCATATAGATATCAACTACTGGATCTTGTACTTGAGCGTGGAAAATCTGCACAACTGTTTTGGACAAATTAACCGGTTGTCTTCATCTCGTTGAATAATCCGCTATTTCATTACATATTTTTGTTCCTTCTTCTAAAAATTTAATCATCGGCTTAATTTCTCAACATATTGGCGGAGATATTAGTACATTGAGATCATCAGCAAATATGTGGCTAGAATGAGCACCTACACAAGCGATAAGATCACAATGGTAGATAATGAACAGATATGGACTCAAACTACTGCCTTAATGCAAATTAAGATGAGTGTAAAATATTTTCGATTTATTCTCTCCAAAATTAACATACGCGAGACGATCATTTAACCATGAAATAATTAATTTCAATAGTCCTAAAGGTATACCGAGTCTATTGAGCTTAACAGCAAGACTCTTATGCCACACTTTATCGTATACCTTTTGATAGTCAACATATACTGCTAATGTTGGAATATTAGCCGTCAAATTATTTTTTTACCTCTTGATATATCCAAGGTGTCCCAAAAGCCCTGATCACTTAAGAAATGCGTATAACTCTCTTATTAATAAAGCTTTATCTAATAGTTTTTTTTTATTTGATAGACATGAGTAGTAAGTTTTTTTTCATAAAGACAAAGTTTATAAATATTGTTCAAAAGTATTGCCTTTGACATCAATACAAAAATTTAGACTTTTTATAGTTTCCGAAACAAAACTCATGTGGAGTTTCTTTGTTTTTTTTTATTTCGATTTCTTTCGATATTCTAGTCCTTAAATCATCTAGATCTTCTACTGCTGTTCTGTAGGCATTTGTTTTAAGATATTCCTATAAAAAGAAGCCCAATGATGTTGATAGGCACGCTCTACGTGAAGATATTTTTAAACGTTTATCAGATTTTTGTTAGTTTCGATTAGTTTGAATGAAAAGACAGCTTGTTTGGAAGAATCAATGATAATAAATATCACTCATTGGAAAGATAGAGTCAACCACATCTTTTTCACAAGCTGTCCATTCCCAGCTAAACAAAGTCTTGGATGATATGTAGATTGGAAGAAGTGGACTCATATCATGAGCTCAACAAACACTAGATTCAACAACATTGAACTGTTTTCTTTGGAAACATCTTAAAACAAATGTCTATAGAACAGCAGTACAAGATCTAGATAATTTAAGGACTAGAATATCGAAAGAAATCGAAATAAAAAACAACTGAACTCCACATGAGTTTTGTTTCGGAAGCTGTAAAAAGTCTAAATTTTTGTATTGATGTCAAAGACAATATTTTTGAACAATATTGATGAACCTTGTCTTTATGAAAAAAAAAACTTACTACTCTTGTCTACCAAATAAAAGAAAATTATTAGATAAATCTTTATTAATAAGATAGTTATACGTATGTCTTAAGTGATCAAGACTTTTAGGGTACCTTGTAGAAGACTATTTACATTAATGAATAAATATTATTGATCGACGGTATTGACGACGATGGTAACAAGACGTACATCTTTCTCTCTGTGTTCTGTTGAGTAAGAACAAGAAAGGTAAAGAAAACTTATTTTTTCTTTTTCTTTCCGTCATTCATTCGTTTCGGCTTTATTCTCCTGCAAATTATAGACCTCAAAGACGCTGCGCAAATTAAATGGTACATTAAAAAATGTTATTGGTGTTACTATGTGGAAACACCAATCATATTTCTTAATTCATTTTTATTTCTTATAGCGTGTTTAATGCCATAGGCGTAAGTGGAGAAGTAAGACATTCTTGCATACTTAAACACTGTTCTTTCATCAACCTTTTAATAAATACAAACTACATCGTTATATGTAAGTAGTATCAGGAGGCTTTTATAACTGTATTCAAGATAATTATTACAAAATAAAATTTTAAACATCTATAGTAGCCATAGATTGATCATACTGGTGGATATTGAGAAATTTTTCTTCGCTCTATATTCGATTACAGAAAAGAAAATCAGATAATTTCACTTGTCTCTATTAGAAACAACATTGGATTCAGCGTTTAGTAAAATTGTCAGATATCGACGATTATGGTTTTCGAGATTTATTCATAATGTTGATTGAATTCTCATTCTGTTTTCGTTAAATTCAATGGATTCTTTTAGTATTTGTATCTGAAAGCTCAAACTGGAAGAAACAAATCACGTAGTAAGCTTTTCTTACAATATCAAAAGCCTATGATCACAGGAATGCAACTAAGTAAACATCTTTCGTATTTTGAGTTTCAAAGAATTAAGTTTGAGTTTGATACGATCAGAGTTTTGCAAACTATCTGTATCAGAAAGCTTAGCAATACTTCAATGGAAAATGTTGCCATCGGCTTGCTTTTCTCCTATATGACATTTTGAAATTATAGTATTGATCGACTAAATCATAACTTCTCGATAGTCACTTTGATTCTCTTCTAAGAATACATACGTCTTGTGTCTGTCACATTCGTCTTGTGCGGGCATCGGTAAAATTCTAGTGATCAGTGAAATGTATAACAGTATGATGTCCTTGAAAATGATTTTCTCTTCTACTTTCTAAATTGATTCATTTGTATCGTATGATCGATTATTCACATTCAAACATGATTATATTCCAAAGAGCAATTCGATTATCAAGAAAAGAAAAAGGTGAAAATTTCATTACCGAACCAATTCATTCGTTGACTATTGTGAATCGTACAAAAAAGTGAATAGTACATTTCAAAAATCATTTATATGACATTATAGGGACCCCTCGCAAAATTCAACATCCGAAAAAAAATCATGGCCTCATTTGGTCGGCAAACCCGTGGCTGAAGCTATTAAAGAAATCAAACGAGACAATCCGAGTAAGTCAATATTTCAGTACTCTAATGAGCTTTATTTGTTTGACATTAAAAGTAGAAAATTGAATTTGTCTAAACTACTTTCATCATCAGTTCATTGTCGTTATAATTGTTGGTTTTTTCTTTTACATCGCTTCAGATCTCGACATTCACGAGGTCGAAAGCGGCTCGATGGTAACCTGTGATGTATGCCAGGATCGTGTACGTGTTTTCTTCGGCAAGGATGGCAAAGTTTCAGAACCTCCACGTGTTGGTTAGACATCAACAATATTCAGAAGAAACAGCAAAATAGCGAACTTTTTGTCAGCTTTTTAGTTAGCTAAAGAATCGTGATAACAAAAAACGTT